GCTCTCGCTCTCTCTCTCTCTCTCTCTCTCTCTCTCTTTCTCTCTCTCTCTCCCTCTCTCTCTCGCTCTCTATTTGCGTTAGTTAATAAAGTTATTGAAGACACGGCCGTTTTTTTTAATCAAAGGGATCCCGAAAATGTTGAGATTATCGTAATTCCAATATGCCCGCCGCATTCTTATATAAGCAGCTGTACAACCGAGAGCATTATAGTTATGATGTTTTTTTGTTATATTTCTCTGGTCGTCATTATTTCGTCGATTTGAACCACCTCGCAGAATGTGATTACGTAGGAAAACGCAGCGAGTTTTGCTCAGGAAAGCTCCTATACACGTAGCATTAGGAGCCCTACTTGCCATATTCGATCGAAATATCTATTAACACTGTGCATTCGGACCGCGACTGTTGGTGAAAATCGCTATGTCAGTCGAGGTTGCAATGCCGTACGTCGCTAGTCTATCTAACGATCTGTGAATCGATGCCGATGTAAATACCTCCATTATGTAATGTCCATAACTAGCAGGACCGCGAGAAAATAATTCAAGCCATCGGTGAGACGGGGCAATCTGTTTCCCGAAACGACTTAATGTGAGCAGAATGGTCGGGTCGCTTGGAAGATTGGAATCGGAAGGTTTAGTCTTGCTAGATTAGGCATTATCCAGAAGTGGTCGCGTTGCACTTTTTTTACATTAAGCGAAACTAGTTCTCGAATATTGACGTTGTCAATGCATAAATCTATGTCATATTTTATCTGGAGCTGGCGAACACGAGTTCATCGTAGATACTCAAACTAACTATTACGGACCACCTTTTTTTACGTAGGAACGTGTTTCATTATTGCGGTTCGCGTCATACGCCGTAATATCTGTTGTTAAGATAATTACAATATGTGGTAATAACGACCATATATATCCCTCCCATTGCACTGCAAGTCGAGTAGACGAGTTAACTTAAAAATCATAATATTAGTCAGGTCGCGTTCAAGAGTGGTCTGGAAATTATCACCACTACTCTAGGGATCGTAAAGTTGCGTGTGCGTTCTCGTTCGTCCATGCGACCGCGGAAGCTTTTAGCTAAACGATATCGTTAGGTAAACACGTTGTGTTTTTGGTATACTCATGTTGCTGTCACCAATCCTAGTGAATTGTCTAGAAAAAAACATTAAGGTAGCGACCCGTGACCGTGATACGCGTTCTTGTTTCCTAGGTAAGATGTGGACTGCTCCCGAGCTGCTCAGGATGACAACGCCATTACCCACAGGGACCCCAAAAGGAGACGTTTACTCATTCGCTATCATCCTTCAGGAAATTGTAATGAGGCAAGGTCCATTCTACATTCCAGACACGAACCTCGGTCCCAAAGGTACTGCCATCGGTTTATTTCTCGTTATGTGTGCGTTCAAGCATGCGTGCGGGCGTGTGTGCGTATGTGTGTGTGTTTGTGTCTGCCCGTCTATCTGTCTGTTAGAGGATCTCTGTATGTGCGCGCATGCGCAGGTGTACGCGTATGCGTGTGCGCGTGCGTGAATGCGTATGCGTGTAAGTGCACGGTATGTTTTATTAACGTCGTATAGGTTTTTGCTACTCTGGACACCACATGTTCCTAAATAAAGCCCTTTTTTCACTTATTTTAACAATTTGTCACGCGAAACACGCAAACATGTAATTTCACGAAGATTTGAAAAAAACACGTGCACGGCAGCCCTACATCATCAAAACTGAGGGGAACCTCGATACCGCACGTGAGCACAACATTACTGCATGATCAGTTCATTGATAACTCTAGTGAGCTGCCTTTTAAATGTAGAAGGCTTTCTAGGAGCAGCTGGAAGAGGGAGGCAAGGGGCGTCAGATAATCAAGTCTAACCCAGCGCCGTAGATAAATCAACAAACCTACGGCCGAGCAACGCCTTATAGATGCTGTTAGCTGTCCACACAGTAACGTACCACGCTGGTAATCTCGCCTCGAACTGCGAAATCATTCACGCATAAATCCCTAGACTGGCCCAATAATTATAAGGCCTAGGTGCTGCTATAATTTTTTACGCGCAGTTCGTCAAGCGAGTTTCTTCGTCCGAACGCGTGGATGGATTCCGCACTACAGGCTCGGGTTTTGGAGAGCGCCAAATCCGTTCGTCATCTTTTATTTATTTATTATCATGCTCTACCATTACTCAATTTCCTCTTTTGTCGATGCTCTCCTCCAGCTAGCGCAGCTGCTCTCTCCGCGTGTACATGTTCGTATATGCACGCGAGTAAACTACATGTGAGCAACTATAGTAAAGCGTACGTCTATTTGATGCGGTGCGGCGCGTTATGTTCCCGTACGAGAAGCTAACACGAATTGACTTCCACGACTGGCAGTGTTCGTCTTGCCGATCGTCGTCCGCCTCTGCACACATTTGTGCCGCCTCCACGGACTGTTACTTCCACTCTATTCCCTCTGCCCGTCACCGCTCGTACCGTAATTGCTTGCAATGTAAGCTCATTTTCGATGGTATTCATCGAACGCACTTCGTGTGAATGCGAGGTTTTTTTATATTAAACTACACAGCGGTCATTCTGGTATCGCCTGGCTCAGGTCTATACTAATTGCCATGTTTTCTCTTTCGTCGCTGCCAGATTACTTACCTTTTCGAGTTATTATGTCGTCATCAACTGACGAATGGGAACTTATATCGTACGCTGACATATATATATATAGTTACGTTCATATACCCACATGGACGGCAAACGCTGCCAGCATGTGTCAATATAGACGGCTTCTTCTAATATGCCATGTGTCCGCATCCTTACCTCACGAACAAATATATCCCCGGTAATAATCATTGATGTACACACTGACTCGCGTGCACACACCCGCACGCGTGCACAAATGCATGTGGACACGCACGCACGCACCCATACACCCGCACGCATGCAGCAATGCATGTGGACACGCACGCACGCACCCATACACCCGCACGCATGCAGCAATGCCCGTGAACGCGCCCGCACGCGTCCGCACACGCGCGCAAATAGATATTAACAAGAGCGTATACTTCTTCTATCCATACTATATATAGCGCCTTCGTTATACGCTCTTGATATTAATGTATTATATAATTAATATAGCTTGCGGCAATAATAACAGCAATAATGCTGTCGACAGACGCTGGTCGCACATCGTCGGCGCACTCCTCTGCTCGGTCGGTATGTGCGGACGATTGATCGTCATCATCATCATCAGCAGTGCATGCACCACTCCCCGTCGACATTTCTGTAGTTAATCTCCTAAGCAGGTCACAGCACAGTCGGGCATATCGGCAACGCGCGCCCGTGGGCCTGGGCATGTATGCAGGCGCTATATGTGAAGTCTCGAGCAATCACGATTGTCGCAGGAATTACGAATACGAGCTTTCAGTCGCTCTCATTCTCCATTCATCAAATCAGTGCGCGGGGAAATGGCGCGCGAGTCCGTTATACAGCCCGGGCGCAATCTATTGCCGCTCGCTCATAACGGCGAGCGCGTAATCAGATATCCGTCGCCTGTCGGTTTTTTTACGAGAGCGCATATGCGACGTGTTTCTTTCCTGCGTCGTTAGAGAGAAGAGCAAGAGAGAGAGCGAGAAAGAAGTGGATGGTTTTCGCTCAAATACGAATCAATCCTTCGGTCTTGCGCCTCGGTGCGTCACTAAAAGCCCTGCTACTGTCCCGGCGTAAACGCGTGCGCGTGGGAAAGGGTTCCACCGTGTAAGACTTCTAGTCGAAGAAACAACATGAAAATCACATCTCCGCGGTTCTTAACTGCTATGCGACCCTAACTCGCTGCTAACTAAAAGCAAGAGCGACGCTTGCCTGTGCGTTATATGCCTATACAGAGCACTCCTACACAACTGTGCGCTTCTATAGAGTCCCATGTGTCCTCAACACACCTATACGCAAACTGACTTGATCAGTGTTTGATATAGCTCCAGCCCGACACCTGCTTACAAAAGGTAGTATGTCGCGTGCGTAGGTTCATGCGTATGGTGCGCCTGCCGAGTAATACAACATAGTGTCTTTCTTATTGCGCGCGCGTGCGTGCGTGAGTGTGTGTGCAGGCGTGTGTACGCGCGTGCGTACGTGTGCGTGAGCGCATGCGCGACTATATATATATATTATGTGTGTGTGTGTGTGTGTGTGTGTGTGTGTGTGTGTGTGAATGTGCGTGCGCGTGCGTGTGTGTGTATGTGCGCGCATGTGCGCGCGCGCGGGTGGGTAATATACTATAATGTACTGATACGGCGGGAAAGCTACCTATAGATTCCCTGGTCCAGTTACTTACATTATGTATGGTAGAGCAGTGCACGCAAGCCAAGCTGACGGGAGGGCCTGTGCTGTTCTGGTGCTGCAAGCTGTAAAATTAATAACTGTAAACCGCGAAAGCGCGATGTCAACGAATAGATTTAACGCTGTATTAGGGCCTAATAATAATCATACATATAATTATTCAGCTCTATTATTTTGTGCTCTATATCTGTCGATAGCATCCATATTTTGTGAAAAAAATATGCATTTAAAATGGTCAAGGGGTATTCGAGAGCAGACCACATGACCTATTCGCTTCTATCGGCTGACGCCACGCGCGCAAAACTGTTTAACAACGTTACACTGGCATACCGGAGCTTTCTGTTCTATTACTTGGACAACACATCAGTGTGACACGCACCGTTGGAACTGAGTAAATAATAAGCACGCACCACACGTAAAAGCTTGTCTAATTATATATTTAATTAATTAATTAAAAGTGCTAAACCTTTTTGCGTGACGTCACACAGCAGTCGGCAGCCGCTACGCATCGTAAATTTATACTAATTTACCAAACTTTTGCGCGGACAAAACTATAACTCACTCATTCTGATGACTCGTAATCAGCTGGCCTAATTGCTGCAAGTGAAATGTACCGCAGCCTGTGCAGTGGTACACCAGCGCACGCTTACTGTGGGAAAAAGAGTAGGGAACAAGCATGCATGCGCTCCATCTCTCAGAACTATCGTCTCTTCCCGAGCCGCAGATTTGCAAAACATTTCAATAATCTCAAATGCGGGGTAGTATGATTTGCTCTTCATTTTAGAAGTACTGTATGACTAATTTCACCGAAATACAATTTTATTTGAGAGATACTTGGTTCGCGCCATACTCAAAAAACTTTAAACTCAAGAATCGTCATTTGCGACTAGGCATCGTATTACACTGACGAGAGGGTATACTTTTCAACAAAATAGTATTTCATTAACGTGATAAAGAAAATGTTAATGTGACATCGCGTCTGTACGTCCATAGACTCCTCCACAGACTGTCGATATATACTTCCCTTCATCTCTCCATCTGTCTCTCTCTCCCTCTATTTCGTTTTCTCTCTCGCGAGCGCGCTCTCTCTCCCTCTCTCTCTTCCCTCTCTCTCTCTATAACTATATATGGCGAATGCGATCGACAGACGCCTTACCTGACTGAGCGTTTGGCGTGCTGAGCACTCGTAAAGACTCTCACAAATACTCGTATGTAGAAATCCACGCTGACACAGAGCAGGGGTACGATATAGCGCGAATTCTGCACCGCGTGAGATTCTAAACTGTTGAGCAAGAGTCGCAACGCCTGCAGAGAGATTCACTCGAGAATTATATCCTGCATTTCCATCGTTCAAAATAATAGTATATATATCAAGAGCTAATAATACATAGAGTGTACAACGGAAAAACGGGAAAATAGTGCTATTTCACGACTACATTATTCTACTTTGCCTGCGAGTCTAGAATAATTTCATGGTATTGCATTAAGCAGAATTCTTTGCTCTCTAAGAGAGAGAGAAGGGGCAGAGGGGGATTTTGTTTGAAGGTGAGTGTATATTGATGGTGAGTGATATGATGGTATTTTGATGGTGAAGCCCAGAGTGGTGAGTGCGGACTTTACTAGTATAATCTAGAAAATAGAAGCTTTTTAAATTGGTCCATTTTTATTACTTGAGAGTTGTACAGTTATAATAGTGATATAGCTTTGCTATAACGCTTGTACTTTGTAATCTCATATAATGTCTTACAAAATAGTGTTCTACAATGCACTACATCGTTGCCTTTTATAATGCACGCATATGCATGTACATGCGCATATAGTATGACCATATTTAATACAAGTACATAGTAGCCGGCTATAATTAATGCATATATACGATCATAGATAATAGACTATAACTTTATGTTTACATCGTCGTGTTATATAATGGATGAATCCATGTTAACCTACAAATTACACCAACGCGATTAATATATTTCCGCCAAAAACCCGTGTCACCGAATCAGCGTATCACTCTATTATTTGCAGACATGATTAATGATTATCCACCATCTTGACCACTTTCACCACTACTATTATGGAACGGGTTATCTATGTTGCAATGACTCGTTCCAGTATTAATTACTAAACCCCTTTCAATGATTTACATCGCGTTATATGCTGTGGTTATTGGTAATTGAAGTATGCTATTGGTCCGAACGTAGTCGAGACACACGGGGGAGTTGAGCAACCGTCGTTGCACCGATATAATTCTCAACTGCAATTACGGAGAACAGAACATGTGCCCGTTAGGAACGAGTTTACAAATCATAAGTGACAATTACATGCAGTGCAGGCTAAACTATATGTATACCGTGCATTCGATAAAATCCCAAAAGATACTGTAACTAAATATATATGTTTATACATTTTGTTTGCTATATTATGGCTATTCCCGGCAGGAAACGTCCGCTGGTGTAAATGTGAGTGCCCTGTGCTATTTTCGCCCCATATGTCTCTGCAGAATACCACATAATATTTGCTCATGTGTGTTATCGCGCACATTGTTCTCTGGTAGAACCGGACTGGTCGAGCCGTACTGGTAGAGCCGGACTGGTCGAGCCGTACTGGTAGAGCCGGAAGCCACGCCATATAGCATACACAATTTTATTATTTAGTTTAGAGTGGGTTTACTTGCAAAACCGCTGGTTTTATGTCCCCAAATACGTAATAGTGATTTGTCGTATATATAGTAACATCGATGTAGTAACAATTAGATTGGAAGCGTTAATATGCGTCGGCCAGTTAGTACTTTCTATATGCGTTATTAGTATGCAATTATGCAGTGTCGTTGTCAGCAGCCGCAGCTTCGAGTAACTATGTGAGTAGGGTGCATGCTGAGTTATTACCGCTAGTATTGCACGCAAAGGAAGGAGGTTGTCTACCCTGCTATAACGCTTTCTTAGAGTGTTGCTGATCACCTATTAGCAGGATACTAAGCGTTAGATAGCTAGATCCGGTTTGATCCATCATCGCGTCGATTCATCACAAAATTTAGAGTAAATAGCATCGATAAAGGTTAAAGATGTCACATCTTCACACATGTACAACATTGCCTGTCATGTCTCCTGACAGCAGACCGCACAGATCCCTGGCCAGTATGCTGCGAAACATGCCAATAAATGCTCATCTGCGAATGTAATCGCTCCACGTTCTCATCAGATCTGACGGCCATCGACGCTATAATTGAATTTTGTTTTTAAGTCCAACGGGGACCAGTCCGCAGTCTCAATTTCACACGCGATAAGTAAAAATAAAGTGGAGAGAATGCTCTATCGTCGATGATTGTCGCACAACATGGGATGCTTGTTTTCCCTTACCGCTAACGAGCTCCCGTAACGAGTATGAGCGCGGGTCTGAAGTGGCGAGCGCTCAAAGGCAGTAATTAACGCACCAGAACTACTTACGAACAAGGAGCTAAATATAAAAAGGAGAGGAAGCGGATTGGCTGTGTGGTTTTCACTTCAAGGGCGCCATCTATGGTCCATAATAAGCTGAAACGGCCGTGCAGACCAAACCCAGAGACAATAGAAGACTAATCTGTTCTAGGGTCTCTGCCGAACCCAAATTTGGGCCAGATATGGCGGCGCTTCCTCTCCTTATTATATTTAGCTCCTTGCTTACGAAGAAAACGGTGACGCCACTAACAACGCGCGGGAAGCTTTTTTTAAGCGAGGAACAGAGGCTGTATAGTTTATTCCCAGCGTCTTGGGTAAAAAATACCATTTCCCGCGGTTCCCAGTTAAATCGCACCGCGAATTCCCAGTTTCCAGATTTTTTCATAAACTCTTTTTCCCATATTTCATCTGAATTTCTTACCATATCTGATATATTTCTCGGTTCGCAGACAATTAATTAAAACTGTTCATGCAATCCCGCGTGCCGAAATTAACCGCCCCCAATCCTATCTCGACTCTTTTGTTGTTTCTCGATCTCGATCTATTCTATTCTCTTCTATATTCTATTCTATTCTATTCTATTCTATTCTATTCTATTCTATTCTATTCTATTCTATTCTATTCTATTCTATTCTATTCTATTCTATTCTTTTCTAATCTATTCTATTCTATTCTATTCCATTCTATGCTATTCTATTCTATTCTATTAATTCTATTCTATTCTATTCTATTCTATTCTATTCTATTCTATTCTATTCCATTCTATGCTATTCTATTCTATTCTATTCTATTCTATTCTATTCTATTCTATTCTATTCTATTCTATTCTATTCTATTCTATTCTATTCTATTCTGTTCTATTCTAGATCTCGATCAGTTCTATTGTTTTTGTCAGATATTGTCGACCGTGTTCGAGCAGGGCAAACATCGCCACCATTCCGGCCGTACATCGACGACAACGAGGTCGACGATGACGTACACAGACTGAGCATGCGCTGTTGGGCCGAGGATCCAGCCGAGAGACCAGACTTTGGCGCCATTAAGCAGATCATGCGAAAGCTCAACAAGTAATGAACACTTGCGTTTTCGCGGGTCGGGTCGGCTTTTTGTTTTAGCAATTCTGCTTGTTAATCGTTAGTCGTTGTCAAGTAATCACGACCACAGAACGAATAAAGTACGCAACACGCACACACATGGACATGCACACGCGTACACACACGCACACGCGGCGGGCACGTACGCTCAGATGCATGTAAACGCACGCATATGCACGCACGCACTTACAAACATGTAAACCTATTTCAATATGAGCTAGGCAAATAGCAACGCAGGCACACGCGCGTAGGCGCACACGCTTACAAACTGGTAAACCAATTTCAATATGAGCTAGGCAAATAGCAGCAAGCAAAACAAAATTCAACGGGAGAAATCCATAAAAAAGTACAGAAAGCGGATTTTGCACTCTTCGTTATTTTCAACTACAGACATTTGTGCGCGTTCGTACAGACTAGGACGCATAATTATAGCCTGCAAACGTAAGCCTATTTCTAATTATCCAAACTCTTAACCTTGTTTAGTCGGTGTTTTCAAGGCATCCGACACTCACTTTTCTGTTGTTATTATATTATCAGGGGAAGCGAGAGCGGCAACATTCTAGACAATTTGCTATCACGAATGGAGCAGTACGCAAACAATCTCGAATTTCTAGTAGAGTCAAGGACGGCGGACTACCTCGAGCAAAAACGCAAAGCTGAGGATCTGCTTTATCAGCTTTTGCCAAAGTAAGAAACCGTAGAAATTATTCATGGCAAAGGATATCGGGACTATTTTCGTTGACTACAGCGTTGATACCAGCAGAGAATCAATGTGCGCCATCCAGGTCGTTGGGATTGTCGTGGTTGAGTGAAATTCTATATGCGATACAAGTATGGCGGTAAACGTGCTCATAGGCGTGTTCAATGCATACATGTAGATTTGTTGTGCGCCGAATGCACTACTTACTTGACACACGAGGAGCTGTTGTAGGTCGAAAGAAGTTGTACCTGAACGAAATCTACATGCGATATACATAGAAATGTATATTCGGTATACTTACAAATGTGTATGCCGTATAATTACAATTGTGTATGCCGTATACTTACGCATGTGTATGCAGTATAATTACAAACGTATATGCCGTATACTTACAAACGTGTATGCCGTATACTTACAAATTGGTATGCCGTATACTTACACATGTGTATGCCGTATGCTTACAAACGTGTATGCCGTATACTTACAAACGTGTATGCCGTATACTTACAAATTGGTATGCCGTTTCCTTACACATGTGTATGCCGTATACTTTCAAATGTGTATGCCGTATACTTACAAATGTGTATGCCGTATACTTACAAATGTGTATGCCGTATACTTACACATGTGTATGCCGTATACTTACAAATGTGTATGCCGTATACTTACAAATGTGTATGCCGTATACTTACTTGGCGCATGCCATATATAAATACGTGTACGCGTGTCGTGTTGAAAGAACAGGTTGATATCTTGCTTTAGAAGCATTGTCCTTTACGTCCCCTCGTATTAACGTACGGTTCACCGCTATCGCGACGCGGCGGTAGAAGCTTAGCAAAATGTTCTAATAGAAAATTGGCAAGCTGCGGGAAAAGCAGCTTTTGCGACGTCGCTGCTCTTCTATCCCGTGCGTATCAGATTTGCGACGCACTCTTCATTTCTTTTGCTCGACGCGCGGATTCATCCGAGGCTCAAATAGCAATTGCGGGCAACTGAGAGGGGATGAAAGACCAAAAATTCTCTCGAGCAAAGATTGCACACGTACGTACCACTCGCGAGTGATGTTCGCTGGTTGTCTTTATGCTGACAGATCCGTCGCGACGAATATAATAGCCGGTCGGCCATTAGTCGCCGAGTCGTTCGACAGCGTCACGATCTACTTCAGTGACATCGTCGGATTTACAGCGATGAGCGCCGCCAGCACTCCCATGCAGGTACGCCTCTCCCGTAGTCTCTCCCCATGCAGGTACGCCTCTTCCGCGGTCTCTCCCCATGCAGGTACGCCTCTACCGTAGTCTCTCCCATGCAGGTACGCCTCTCTCGCGGTCTCTCCCCATGCAGGTACGCCTCTCCCGCGGTCTCTCCCAAGCAGGTACGCCTCTCTCGCGGTCTCTCCCATGCAGGTACGTCTTTCCGCAGTCTCTCCCATGCAGGTACGCCTCTCCTGAGTCTCGGGAGAGGCGTACCTGCATGGGGAGAGACCGCGGGAGAGGCGTACCTGCATGGGGAGAGACCGCGGGAGAGGCGTACCTGCATGGGGAGCGGTCTCTCCCCATGCAGGTACACCTCTCCCGCGGTCTCTCCCATGCAGGTACGCCTTTCCCGCGGTCTCTCTCCGTGTCTTATGTCGTGATGTTCATCTCTCCCAAGACGCTCGTCTTATATTCAAAGCACGTTGTTAGATATTCGTTTCGAGTGGAAATGAATTTAGCTGCCACGCGTCAACCGTCGCATCTCTACCACCTCTCTTCGCCCAGCCATATTTCCTTGACTCTTGATACACGCCATTCGCTATGGGTGGGTAGTTTGAAACAGGGCGTACGCGTAACCTAGGTACCTAGTGATACCAAAGTCGGTATGTGTGTGTGCGTGTGTGTATGTGTGTGTGTGTGTGCGTGCGTGCGTGCGTGCGTGCGTGCGTGCGTGCGTGCGTGCGTCTTTGTATGAGTGCGCGCGATAAGTGCGCCTTCCTGAGTGCACGTATTATAATCACTTGGCTATAATTATAATTCCGTTATTTTCTTTTTTTCTCATGTCAGAGTATCCCACTGGGGGTTTCGATTATTAATGTTGAGCTTTCTGCCTAGATTTTAGCGAGTGACGCTGAAAACCCCACGAGTAAAGTCCATTTATTATCGACGTGCGTAACTAAACGGTGGATCATCTGAATAATTCAAAATGAACCTCCCCTGCTTCTGATTTAGTTGCATGATGTCTGTAGAGAAGGAAAGGGGAGGAGCGAACGCCTGCCGGCTTCAGCGCAAATGGAAGAAGCATAGGAAGAAGCGACAAATTCATCAATTACGCCTGTGGTGCTTTATCGGCGACACAATGCACATCGCGGCGTCTAATAGAGCAAACGTAACTCGCGTGGAGTAAAGAGACAAGCTCTCTTAGCTAAACAAGGCGAAGATTCGCCGCGTAACGTGATCCCACGCGCAATCTTCTGCAATGCGGAGCAACAGAAACTGTTTTCACTCCGACGGCTCGTCGCATTTGCGCTGATTTTTGATATGCGTACGTGTTAGTTACAAAATGCTGCTGCAACAGTCGAGCAATCAAGCTCTAGCATCCACATCCCCACCCAAGTTTCCATATAAGTGTTGTCGCGCGATGCTGTCGCGTTTAACCACTTTATCTTAGTAACGTAATCCTTTGTTTTAGGTCGTCGACCTGCTTAACGACCTCTATACTTGCTTCGACTCCATCATTGAGCATTTCGACGTATATAAGGTACGTATCAGCATCCTATTCTGAAATGCCAAAAGCGTGTTACCATAAATCTCGTAGTTTTTTCCCCCCAAATTGATCGCAGCATAGAATATATGATAGGAATAATATAATATCCACTTATGATGAGGCAATTGTTTTGTTGAAAAGTTGCTTACAATATTTTTTTCGGGCTTCGTTTTGAGTATCACCTTGAGTGCATTGTCTGAAATTGATCAATTAGTATCTGCTTGAGGCAGCATGATATTGCACACTTTCGAGTCACTTATCGTTCGAGTCAATATTTAGTTTCGAAACTGCGCTGTATTGAATTCTACTGTATTGTATTGTATTGTATTGTATTGTATGCTATTGAGAAGTGAAAAGCTCTATCAGAAATAATACAGCATGACGTGAGTGCTCCGATGCAATATTATAGCGCACGTCGTAGGACGCTTTACTTATAGCGATATTCAGAAGAATGGTGTGGACTTCCTGTTACCGGGAGTAGTTTTCTTGCACATATAAGTACATTTTCGCTTTTTTGTTAACCAGCTGCTCGCAAAAAATGGTCGATTTCACCATAGACGAAGAGATATATATATATATATATATAGATATATCTGCGCGTGTCGGAGCTGTGAATAATGGATGCAAATATAGCGTGCAAATAAAGACGTGCAAAGTTTTACTTCGAACGTGCTTGGGTCTTAATGAAGCTAACTGGTTTTACCAGACGCTCTCACCGCACTCTATTATTTACGAGAGAATTATTTAAAAGCTTCAAACTTTCGTCCCTTACTAATCGATTAAATAACGAATTCACAGTACTATGTATCCACTCGAGCTCAATGACAGATGAGTCGTTGCAGGACAAGGCGATGCACCGTGCACAAACGGTGGCATTTAACCGGGTCACTTTGCGTGTTTCAGGTAGAGACGATCGGAGACGCATACATGGTCGTGTCGGGTTTGCCGGTCCCTAATGGCGTCTTTCACGCGAGGGAAATAGCGAGAATGTCACTTGCCCTTCTAAAAGCTGTGGTGACATTCAAAATTCGACACAGACCCGAGGAGCAGTTAAAGCTGCGCATAGGCATGCATACGGGTACGTTGATGCGCATGCGCGTCAGCGTATAAAGATATATAAAGCTTATAATCAGATGTAGATAGGCCACGAGCGTTTCGTGCTGCGACGCCCACTGCCTAATACCGCAAGACTTCATCCTATTGTCTTTTTTTGTTTTCTTTCTTCGCCTCGTTTATTTTAATCCGCCTAGTCGTTGCGCATTTGCCACGTTTCATTTGGGAATTATCAGTTGTTGGCTTGTCTCGCTTGTGAGAGAGCCCCCCTGCTGCAGTTGACGAGATTGTGTAAGTAACGATAAAATTTTAGTCGGTTTAAGGTAAGATGTGTGCTCGACACGTACGCGCCCACGCAGGCCTGCGCTCCCGCTGGCAAATTCGCCAAGCTATTTCGTAATTTCCCGTCATATATTTCAAACGTTACATATTGAATCGGGTTCTATCACGCGTGTAATACATATCGCGCTCGTTTTTATCGTTCGAAATAATAGAACATTTCACACTGCGTAACTTCCTGACGCGCTCTAAATTAATAACCTACAAAAAAACTTTTTTTAAATTTTTTTCAGAAATCACTCTAGTCGTTCGTCGGCGTGCTCCGTAATTACACATGCGCACAGCAAAAAATATATATTCACACACAAAATTCACTAGCAGCTATCGGTTTGGGACTTCAACACATAGCATAAAATTTAATAACCGCTCGAACTACTTCCTTTCATATCCATATGAGGCTACCCGGAACCATTTACTTTAGAAGTTATTAGATATCGGTTTGATCGTTAAGGTGATCGATCGTCTTGTGTATTCGCCTTGTTACAGGCCCGTGCGTGGCTGGAGTCGTCGGATTGAAGATGCCTCGCTACTGTCTGTTCGGTGATACGGTGAACACGGCGTCCAGAATGGAATCCAACGGACAGCGTAAGTCTCGCGTAACTAATCGGTAGTATGAATAAGCGTGTGCCTGCAGGCATGTGTAGGGAAATGTCTGTATAGGACGTACGCGCCGCACGCTGTGCGCAGTATCGACTCCCAACATATATGTGTCGGATCCCTAATTGGATGAAACTGAGAAGCAAAGCAGGTCTGTGCATCCGCATCGGCGATGGACGCTTTCCCTGTATAGTCAAACAATGAAGCTGCCTTTTTCATGCTATAACTACACCGAACTACCTCTCAATAAACACACGCATGCGTTTAGTCCTGTCATCTAACTTGGTGCCAAGAAGAGAGCCTTGTATGCCGCGGCACCCGCCAGTGAAAACTGTGAATCTCTTCACTAGGCCGATAGCCCAGTAGGGCACCCGAAAATTATTATTATATCTAACTTGGCTAACAAGGCACTATCGATGCCATACACACTGTGTATGCGCGAACGAATGCACGTATTTATCGATGCACGTATTCTCTGCATGTTTCCTTCGTGGTGCCGCGCGCACGGTAGGCTTTTGAATCATACACGAACATTCTCTATATGGCACACTAGGCATCTCATATGGCACACTAGGCATCTCATATGGCACACTAGGCATCTTATATGGCACACTAGGCATCTCATATGGCACACTAGGCATCTCATATGGCACACTAAGCATCCGAACGCGCTGGCGATTATATAGGAGTCCTTACTGGTGAACTAAGAAGTGGTGAAAGCTATGAATGTCGACCTAGTTAGCTTCGATTAAGTATCGCAGGAAGAGAATACGCTGTGGCTCAATCAGATGCTCGCGGCAAGCGTCAGTTTAAAGAATTTCGGCTTCGATATATTGAAGCATATCTGCTACTGGAATATGCTCAGAATGAAAGCACAAACCGTTCGTGCCCGCACTGCGTATACTATGCGGGATGCAGATGGTCATGAATGAAGAACACGGACAAGCCGTTATATTATAGCGCACTACCATTTTGTGAATGTACAGTCATTAGAACTAGAGGAAACTGTGCGGTAACACTGTTTTGTTTGTTTTTACGTCTAGCTCTGAAGGTGCACGTGAGCCCAGACACAGAGGCGATTCTTCGTATATTTAACACGTTCAGACTCGAGTGCCGCGGTGATATTGAGATGAAGGGAAAAGGCGTAGTGCGAACGTACTGGCTGTTGGGGGAAAAACCATCGAACGTGGCGCCACCGCGCGACGGCGAAGGAGGTGAAGAAAGCGCGCCAGCACCGACGTTAGCGACATCTGTCGACGTCCACCGAAATCGCAATTCATGCCGCAATACGTCGTTGAAAAACGAGATGAAACCAGAGCATTCCGAGCCAGTGATTACAAGAAGCAGCTCACAGAGTTCTCAGCTTTCGAACACCTTCTGCCCAAGCGCCACGACGTACACGAATCAGCTGCCCCGGCTAGAACCAAGTCAAAATGATTCGTATAGTGACATTCCGTTATATAGAGATTCCTTACCTAGCGGGGCTATATACAGAAGCGTGAATACGTAAAGCAGAGCGGGTGATGTGCATGACTCGGGGGAACGCATTTCCAACATTTTTAAATGGCATTTAACGAAACCATTCGTAGTCAAGCATGTATTAGTGAAGACTGGACAGTCTTGCTGTCCTAACCAACTTGTAAATATAATTAAAGTCCGTGTTTCGTCGACTCAGACGGATTTTGGTGCGCTTTACATATATTTCACATTTTTTCGTTAACTGTGTAAGCTATCGTTTATGTTGCAACCATCTTATAAATATAATACTATAATCATAAAGCCGGCGAAACATCATTATATAGATCTGACATATTTGATATTACTGTGACAGGAACCACATGGGCGTTTTAAGCTGGTGGTTTACTGCAAATCAGCTAGTTTCTCATATAGTTTATGCCATATGTCATATGCTTGCAGTAATACATATTACGATTTGCTCATAGGAAATATTTTCACTTACTATAAGAACACGGTAATCAAACTTGTAAAATTAACTACTATGCCATTATAATATAGCTATAATCTATATGAACTGTAAACGTAATGTGTCAACAGTTGTTAGTAAGATGTGTCTTCAATAAAGAGAAGGCGAATTCAACGCTACCCTGTTGTACATATTGATTTGAATATAGATCCAGTGATTAAAGCTGCTTCAGATTATACTTCATAATAAAAGTCGTTGTCGCAAATAATTTAGTATTAATTTTAAACATGAATTTTGCTATTTTTACTACGAGATTTTGGTTGTGACCGCTAAAAATTACAAGACACAAACCAAATAATACCTTGTGAGCATTGTATAATGGACAAAGCGTAGAAAAACAAGAAAAAGAATAAAATAATGGCGTTTGCAGTTATATGAATATCATGTACGATGACAGTATTTATTATATTTAATGTTGCACTAGATATAATTTTCTGTTATAAAACGTGTTGGCAGACATCTTTCATGATTAACTTTTTTATATCAGTTAAATAATAGCTGCGAATCGCCTTCATTTAAATCCAGCCGTTCATATCTCACGATAAAAGTCATAACAGCAGGTTCTTTTACTTCCACCAGGTAAATTTCGTATGGCAACACGAGATATCGCCGGCAAATTACAGCAATGAAGTAGAGAATGGATATGTATTTATAAGAGTAGGCCACTTTCATCAGAAACAGATATATAGTATGCAATTATAGCGATAATGTCTACGATATGCGCCACATATTCTTCACGTGGCACCGAATGTTGACATAGCATTACTACAAGAAAATGAACATGCAACACCATGCAAACATACAGGATGCATGCAATACAAAAAATCATTTGAACAAACAAGGCATAAACTATGAATCTTATCAATAATATACAATTAATTAATATATAATATAATTGAAGGATAGTGCATAATTTAAAGTATACTATGCCACATTGCCTATATATATGGATAGGTGTTGTACGATTTAGTAGGAGATATTTTAGTAATAAAATGGGAACAAAGATATACAAAAATTATCGAAGGCTCTACAGTAAATTATTCTCTCTGCGCGTTGTAGTGATTTCGATTTGTTTCGGTTTTTTTTTTTTATTATTTGGTTAAATGATTTTGTTTTTCAAATAAATAGAAATTAAACTAGTTTAGTAACGACCTAGTAAGTTATAATACTACGCGATTATTAATTTGATTGGCTGCTATAATTATTAAGTGATTATTCTATTCTCCCGTCACATGTAAGTTGAGATGTTATCCGCTTCCTCCGGCATATCTTTCTCGGGAGATTCCAAATACGTAGGGTTCCATGTCCCAGTGCGGCTTGACATCTCCTTTTAAATTACAATGAAATTATGTAAAATTAGGTGTAGGTGATATAGCCGATGTGACTATATATTTTTTTCTTCTTTTTTCATCTATGCACTATTATATAGTTAACAATGATTATTCATATCTAATGTATGAACTTTAATTTAGATTATTATATGTAGCAATGCGAAAATAGCTCAATCATGACGTTTTCATCCGCTTACACCGCAATTGAGCGGAAATTTGTTGGTGGCTAAATATAGGTTGGAGAAAAACCGTCTTTGAATTTCTATAAACTAATCTACCATCGACAAAAAACGCACGCATACTAACAATATGAAATTCTCCTCGCTGCTTGTGTTCGATGCCTCCATTTCGCACACTGGTAATGTCGTTCATGAGCAATTTATCCATGTTTCCATGGTAATATTGCTGCTGCTGGTGAGCGCTGCTTATAGATGACTGATAACTGTTCGCCAGCAGTGCTAGGTCGCGTTTCCTCCTCATAGGGCATGCCTGAAATCGCAGGCATGCGCATGCGCGCAAACAACGATGAACCATTGCAATCTCTAGTCAAGCGTAAGTACGAGAACAGTCTAGAAAAACGTAATGAAAGAATTTATCGCACAACTATTTTGAATAATAATTCTCGTGCCTGTCGTTCATTCCTCGTCGCGCATCTGAGGAAACAATCAAGCAATCAAGGTGTTCGTGTAGCGTGCATGCGCTAGCGTCCCGACATTGACTGGTATTGTAAAGAGTAACAGGCGGGTCGTGTGCGCTTACAGGACAGGACTCCTTCACTTACCATGATAATGAAGAGGCCCACGAATAGCACGAAGACTACTACACCAACTATGATGACGGTGATCACCCACGTTTCTAATCCCTGAGATTGTGCTGGGGCGGTTGGTAACGGGGTATCAGTACCGCCTATAGCAAACATATGTTCAACTAACTTTACAATGTATTTACCGCTTTGCTACTTTCAACGCTAACAAATGTTTAGCGTAAATATTTTCGAATAACACGCATGAAACGTAAAATGTCTAATATTAAAATGGCTGTTGGAAATTATTACCGAAAGATGGCACCACTGAAGCGCTCACTGCAAACTAACAACGTGGTTCCCACTGAGGCTGAAGGGGTCGTTGTCGTATAGGGTACCCTAACCCTAACCCTAACCCTAACCCCCCTAACCCTAACCCTAACCATATCAGATAGTTACCTCGGGTACGTATATGTAGTACCCTATACGACAACGACCCTTTCTGCCCCACTGAGCTGTGTAACAACAACACTTATGATTATTTACTCCTGATAACATGTTATGTATAATACAGCTCAGTAACGGTTGTTACTCACTTATAATTGATGAGTAGTTTTCGTCGATAGTGTAAGCGCCCAGTTGCGCACCGTGTTCGTCGATGTATTGCCCGAATGCTCGACTAACGAGACTTATACCATTTCCCGCTCCGGGTGTTAGGATGACTGTATATTCAACCTTAACACCATCAGACTCGCTTCCACTGGAACAAACCCATTTACAACGTAATATAACTATTAATTATGCAAAAGTCGGCGATGCGTGGAGTTTGCTCTGCGGAAAATAAGAAATGTGCGCGATGACAATGATGTTTTCTTTGGCATTATTGAGTTGGATATGCAGCAGGAGTGTATAATAGGGCCCTATTATACACTCCTGATATGCAGGGGATATGCATGACGGATGGAATGTTAGGACTCTGGTTAGTAACACATGGGCTTGCTAACAATATATTCGTAAATATTGCAAAACTCGATCGCTGGAACCCAGTGGAGAATTTGCCGCCATCAGCAATTTTTAAAATGTTGTTCAAGACAGGATTTTGGTCAGTTAAAGTCGCTTGCATTTGGTCGGTAAGTAAAACAATTGCCACCAGAGGGCGGTAAAATGTAATGCTATATAAGGTTTGCTCAAACTATGACATCGACCAATGGGAATCCTCTATCTCAGAAAATCGATCTGTCGCACAGATTTAAAACCTATACATTCATCTATACATACATATATACTACTTCGTTGCATACGGTATAAGTTTCTACACAATGTATAGACGTATCTTGGTCGCGTGGTACACTGGATAAATAGGCCAGGTATTGTATTACGATGTGCCTAAAGTTTGCAAGAAAAATTTGGTCTCAACTCAGACGGAATACATCTCTTGCTTTATCGTAACATTTTGAAGTATTTAGAAACGATAGAAATGTCTGATTTATGCGCGTATGAAGCTTTCTAGAAGCCTGTGAATATACCAGACTACAACAATGGTGTGTGGCGCCAGGCTAGCCTGGTCAGTTCTATGCAATTTAAATCGCACATTATTATCGCGGTAGGATATACCGTCTAGATCTAGACAAAATTAAATCCGACGTGAATTGTCGTTTCCTTGGACTAAGAATTCGCTAGCGTCGTTGCATTTAGTGTTCCCGGCTGATAGTCCATTAAATGGAGACAACTAGCGCTGTCGTGCATATTTATAATATGCGTCATACAGTGTTGCTTGAAGCATTACATGATCTGTTTGTCGGCAGCTGCTTTTAACGCGTTTTGAAAAACATGCGTTTAAAAATTCTATTGTGTGTTAAGCAACGATATAATGCGACGAATTATCAGGCATGCAAGGCACTATCACACAACTATATAAATGCGGCAACTCTGGAACTTATTGTCTCGGAACATTATAACGCGAGATTCTGTATGCAGCTGGCGTGATGTGTAGCAATTCAAATGTGTCTCCGAATAACCTACTGGGTGTTCACGTCACGTTCATGTACGTGGATATTCAGTGAAGGGGTACATTATTTGCTTGTATAATGAGCTGGGAGGCTAAATGCTTACCTGAACCTATTTATCCTGACAGCTAAAAACTCCGCATCTGTGATTGTGCTATTGTAGGCTGCAGTTAGCTAAAACAGAAACACATACAATAACAAATGCTAATAATCAGATATCTATAAATAGAAAAATAATGTCACAATAATATATGCAATTGTGCACTATAGATGGTTTCTACTGACAATGAATTATAACAATAATTATGTTTAACAACCTGTTATACTAGTAATTGATTGTAAACATTCAACGTATTTTCCTAGGTTTTAATGTATCAATGGTATTGTGAAGGCGCGACCATAGTGTCCGTGCAAGATAAAGGGCGTACGGAAATTTCTAGTGAATAAAGTATAATTGATTACCTTTTAGCCTGTAGGGATTAATTAATGAACAATGATGTGAATTCACTGAAAAGCGAATTGGAACCCGCTTGATGTACACCATACACATCATATATATATATATATATATAGATATATCTGCGCGTGTCGGAGCTGTGAATAATGGATGCAAATATAG